GTTTATAATACAACTACTGACTATTTACTTTACTATTAGTTGGTGAGAGCGTCGGACTAATGACAAATAAAATAAATAAAGTAAAAATAAAATTAAATTAAGTTTTACATTTTATTTCAGTTTAACCCCTTCTGTGTCAGGCTTTTTTTAGAAACGAGTTCAAAAAGAGTAAGGTTTTCATTTTACTTTTTTCATAGCCTACACTTTTATAATAATGAAACGAAAGTTCTTTTATGACCTGTTATTATATTTCCGGACAAAATATACTTGATAAATAAATGTAACGTATTTGGATTTATACGTGACATATATTATTTCAATGAAACTACAGTAAATAATTTGAATGCTTTTCTCCAGATTTTAAAGTACATAATACAGAATAAATCCAATAGAGATCAGCACGAACAGCATTTCCAATGCCAGTTAACAAGCACTTAATGTAATACATCATGATTTATGAATAAATTCCAGTAAAGTAAAAAAATACAGTGAGAAATTGTTTGCCCAAATTAACTCAAGCAAATAATTTTTGAAACATGGAGGGTGCCCGAGTTATCTTGAGCAAATCACAGAAAGGGTTAATCAGATATAGCTGTAACTATTATTGATAATTAATTTACTGTAAAATACTTTTATATATGTTAAGCCTTTGGAGACTTACAAACCTCTTTTTTATGTCCTAATATTAGTTAAACTTTTTTTGAAATCTATTTCATTGGTAATATTAAAGTTTCATTAATAGTTACAAATGAAAGTATAAGTATGTAAATAATAATGTTACTTAGGTAAGTAAACTATGAAAGCCTGAAAAACCCAGATACATTTCAACATTCAAACTTGCTTTTCAAATAACTAATTCTTCTTCGTAGATGTCAATTTCACTAGAACTTGGCAGGAGCTGAAACTTTCATTTTAGTATTAAATTGATTGTGGTTCTTTATTATTTTCTATGTTTAAAAATCATTTTCATTATATGTCCAGAGCTAGCCAGCAAATTACTCAATCAGTAGCATGCATTAATATAAATTACAAAACACTACATGGCTGGGGAAACAAGTAAAATATTAAGCATCACTACTTAAATATTGGAATGTATTAATAATGTTAATTTTCAAAGTTATTAAACAACAGAGGCACAGTACCAAATATTTTTAAACTCCAGATTTTTGTTGAGTATTCAAAAATACTGAAAAATGTAACTTTATTCTCATAAATTACATTTGAAGATACCTTGAACCCTAATGTTTTCTGAAGAATAAGCTCTTATCTACCATTCATGGAAGCTATTCTCATATGACTTGACTGTGGATGCAGTGCTGGGTGACTTTAACTTGAATAATATTTAATTATCCCAGAGATGTTTTGGTTATTTTTTATTTGTCTTAAATTTAGCTACATCAGGAATTTATTTCCCCAGTTTGGGTTAACAGAATTCATACTCTACTGTTTTTGATGAAAATGTTCATAAGCTTTTGTATTTGAAGGCTGGAAATTTAAATATGCAATTTAATACCTTATTATTGTTCTTTTTTTTTTTTCTCTTCAGGCTCAATGATTTTTTAGTGCTCAAATAAAACTCTACTGTTTTTGCCTGACAGTTCATTATGTTTCAGTTATTTTCCTAATTTAAATAACTTAATTTTTCATAGATTTTCTTCTCCACTCTAGGATGGTTTTTCTTTACCTGACATGGCCACAGTTGTTCTTTTATAACAATACCTGAGAACAAAAAAAAAAAAAAAAAAATTATATATTTATTACCAACTTCCAAAATGTAAGAAAAGTACTCTTCAGAGTTCTTTTGTAGGATTAGTCAAATAGCTTGTATCAAGAAAAGCAAAAGTATGTTTTCATATGCAAGATAAAGTCATTGTAATGGTATGTGTATTATCAGAAATTAAAGTGTTGAGAAAAATTAAAGTATATGCAGGGAATACAAAAATAATAAGTAATAAACTTTTATAAGATTCCACTATCAATACACCAAAAATACAATACTTCTCGAATATTTTAGACCTTCTTATCCACACAATGAACAGAGATGATCATTTATGGTATTAGAAAAAAAGCTACTTGTGTCCTGAATCATTAAAATGAAACAATTTATCATAAGTATAAAACATGCTCTTAAACCAATTTTCCCTATAATAAAATGTTGCATATAAACCAGTGATGCTGAAGACATCAGGAGAAAAGATAAAGCCAAACTGATAAAATTCCACCAGCAGTATTAAAATAGTTTATATATATTTGAAAAACACCCAAAAAGAGAAAAAAAGTCCCCAAAATTTAAGTGCGGTAATTAAGTGAAATGATGCCTCAAGTAATAGTAGTTCATAACTTTTTAACAGTTTGATTGATTTCAAAGTATTTAAAATAAATATTAAGCAACTTACTTTGACTATTACTGACTATGTGGATAGGCTGGTACAGGATTTGGTTGACCTTGGCTGGTTCCTGTATCAATGAAAATTAAGAGAATCCTTAATTATTATAAAAATAAGCAAATGAAACAGAAAACCACTGATGAGTTTCTTAGTACATTATTCAATTAATATCAGTTTTGACAATGTTTGTAAAAGATAGAGTGTACCAATTTCATTATTTTTAAAAATAAAAGCAACTAAAATAGGATTAAAAAATATTACCATACAAAAAACATTTCACCATAATTAACATGGCATCATCAGGTACATTACAAAATATTTAAGTACATTTAATCGTGAGGTCATGAGTATAACAATAACCTTAAAATAAATATACACATACTCCCTTACTTATCATAAAAAATTCTGATTTATTATAATAGCTTCTTTTATTTTGTAATTGTTTATATTAGGTTCACATCAATTCATTTTTACAATTTTAGTTTCAGTATGATGTTGCATTTCTTTAAAAGTTTGTAGATATACGATGGAGTACATCCATGATCAACTATTCTTAAACTTAAATTCCATCCAACCTCCCCTACATAAAGACTGTAAAATATATACATTGAACACTTTAAACTACCTTATTCTCAATTATAGAAGGTCTAACTGTTTTTAATTCATAAAACCTTTTTCTCCTGATAAAACAAAATAATCTACACACAATGGGAAGTTAGTATTTTTTTTTTCCATTTCTTGCCACATAATTTTTTATAGTGGCTGATAAAGGTGTTCCCTGAATTCCACAACGAACTACCTTACACAAATATATTTTCTTTTTTTTTCTCCAGAAAGCTTTTTAGTAATCAAGAATTACTTAACAGTGCTCATAGGATAATCATTCCTTTTTGCCAATACAGTTTCCAGATAATATATTTCATATAGCTCTTCTTCTGAATTATAAATAACTTTAGCTATATCCATAAAAGTTTTAATAACCTCTACTTTTTAAGCTTTATGATTAGCCAAGTCCAATTCAAATATAGATCAGTATGAGCTTTCTTCCTAAGTACTTGTTTTTTACATTTCTATTCATATATGTTAAGAAAAGATAACTCACCCCCTTTCAATTTTTACTATACTAACCATAATGTTAAAAAAAGATAATTCATCCCTTTCAATTTTTACTTTACTAACCATGATGTTAAAAAAAAAGATAATTCACCCCTTTCAATTTTTACTTTACTAACCATGATGCTTAAAAAAAAATTCACCCCTTTCAATTTTTACTTTACTAACCATGATGTTAAAAAAGATAATTCACCCCTTTCAATTTTTACTTTATTAACCATGATGTTAAAAAGATAACTCACCCCTTTCAATTTTTACTTTACTACCATGATGTTAAAAAAGATAACTTATCCCCTTTCATTATTTACTTTACTAACCATGATGTTAAAAAAAGATAACTAATCCCGTTACAATTTTTACTTTACTAACCATGATGTTGAAAAAAAGATAATTCATCCCTTTCATTTTTTACTTTACTAACCATGATGTTAAAAAAATAACTTATCCCCTTTCATCATTTACCTTACTAACCATGATGTTAAAAAAAAGAAAATTCACCCCTTTCATTATTTACTTTACTAACCATGATGTTAAGAAAAGATTACTCATCCCCTTCTCATAAATAAGGTTGATGTTAGAATGTAACAAATTTAGAAATGTTAAGAACTGTTCAACCACTTGTCCACAATCTTATTTTAGCTGTTTATGTTATTAATTGTTAAGTACATGGGATACCTCCATTACTTGCATTTTATTACTTTTTTTGGCTATAAAAGCAAAATCACATTAGTAGTACAGTCTTTTCTATAAAAATGCCTAACATATTTTTTAGTTATGGATGTAACTTAAGTGCAAAATATTATATCAGAATTGTTTTTTTTCATACAGATGCAATATTCTATAAAAAAAAGGTGAAATTTAAAAAACAGTAAATCAAGAACATTATTTTTTAACTAGTTACTAATGTAATGCTATTTGTTTACCCTGTGGATGGGCTACAAAAGGTGCACTGACCATGGGGGTTGGACCCATGGTACCACTAGTTGGAATAATGGTCATTGGCATGTGAGGAATCACATGTGTAGGAGTCCCAGCATGATTTCCTGGATTATGCCCATGAATTGGATGTCCCTGGAGTGCATGGTGTCCAGAGGAAGCTACAGAGTGGTGGGGAGTGTGAGACATAAGGATCATAGATTGGGGGGTACCTGAGAAATTATTATGGTGGGGATGTGGGTGGTTCTGATTTAGATGAGGTGCCTGGGAAGTGTTGGGGTTATGATGCCCAGGTTGTATGGAAGGTTGGGGCATCATCTGGCTATAAACCACAGGTTGTGGTGTGTGGGGGGGACCGGGTTGACCAGTTGGAGTTGGAGTTTGGGCTGGAGTTACATGGGGTCCACCAGCAGGTTGTTGGTGTACTGGAGAAGGGGCATGAAGAGGAGTACCAGGAGTCTGTGACTGTGGGGTTGATGGGGCTGAATGGGGTCCAGAAGATGCTTGGGGTAACATATTCTGCACAGCACTAACAGGAACTCCATGAGGATTATGTCCCATAGCTCTCATATGTGGAGACACTAAGAAAAAAATTAATTACAAAAATTGTTTTAACAAATATCTCAAATTTAAACAGTTAGTAGTTTCAAACCTTTAACAAACGAAAGGATCTACTGTAATTGAATATTTTTGGAATATTATATTTCTATTTGTGAAGATTCATGTGTATACTTAAAGATCACAGTAATTTGGGAGAAACCGGCATTTAACCATGTTAGCAATTCAGATTTTTTAGTCATGTTTAATTCAGAATTCTAAGTACATGAGGTGTCCAGAACATACAGAAAAAATTTTTTACCCATGTTATTAAATAAATATGTTAAAAATGTAATATAATTTTAGTGTATTCATATAAAATGACAAACTTGTAATTATACATTAAAAAATAATATACATGCTACCTAAAACAACAACAACTATTTTATTACAAAAGCAATTAAAAGACTGAACTTACTATATACATGCCCAGTCATCTGTGGATATTCACCATAGGTCACTGTATGAGAAGTAGGAACCATTCCTACAGGCTGAGGAGACATCATTTGGGGTAGCACAGAGTAGATCTTTAGAAGTTGAAAAAATATTTTTAGCTTTAGAGAATAAAACTTGTTATTACTGTACCAGAAATCCTTAGCCCAATGAAACCAAGCATTAAGATGTAAGTATACAAAGTGCAAAAAATCTACTACAATATAAATGTTTAAATTTGACTACATTTTATGTTTAGTCCTAGACTCAGGTCAATTGTAAGATGAGGGTAAAAATAGACAAAATGATTACTTATTTCATTTCTTTGTTTACAAAATAAAAAACTGTATACTAACAAATAAGTAACAGCATTTTATATTGGTGCATTCAGTCTTTTTTGATAAGTTGTGTATTCTTTATGATTATGTCTACAGTGTTAAACACTTGAGGTTTGTCCATTTGTCTGCCCAGTGTTGAAAGTTGTTCTGAGGAATTGGCTAAACCAATTTTGACAAAATTTTATAATGAAATTCATGTCAATCTCCCAGAGATTGAGTTTATGTGGGTAACCAATGAGATGAACAGTTTGAGTTTAGCAGCTATTTGAATTTTACCACTTTAATGCCAAAATTAAGGGCTCAGTTGAGGAAAGAGGTTTCAATCAAAATACAGATATACAAAAACAACGTTTGATACAGTGCACAGCAGACCAAAAGGTTCTTGTGCTACAGCTCAAAATAGTGGATGGGGTGCCCCATGCCCATTTATTACTTTTTATGCTTGATATTGCGAGTACCTTAGCTAGCGCTACAAGCCATGAAAGAAGCTATAGATGAAAATTACCAACTATGAAAATAAGCTTTATAAACTGCCATGTCTATTTCACTTCATGCCACTTGCATAATATTCTATACAGAAAGTTCATGCACAAGATTTTAAATTATTGATATAAAAATGGCCCTGTTTTAAGGTAAAAATGGATCTTTCACAATATTTACTTTTTGTAGAAGATTAGTGGGTAGATCTGGAGATCTATACGTAAAAGAATAAGATACTGATTTAGACAGCATGGAATGGGATAAAAAAAAAAAAAGGCAGAAAGTAATTACCTGAGCATAAGGCAAGCCTGGCTGTGGTCCACCTCCTGGCATCATTCCCTGAGAGGAGTAGGGCATGGTAAGTTGTGGTGGAGTTGGAATGGCAGCAGGAGCTAGGATTGGTTGACCAGTGGCTGCAGCTACATGAACAGATGGTGCTATATCATGGCGCTGCTGTACTGCAATTTGATGTGCTTAAAACCCAGAAAGAAAGAAAATTAACCAATATCTGTTGATACTTTAAACTATTCTGTTATCAATTAACTAAGTATCCCAATGTAACAAAAACTAATTAACATCAATTTCAAGACTGATCCCTAAGAAAGTAGCTTTATTTTACCAAATGTTATTAACTTTTCACTTATTAACTCTCTCAATTATGGGCTCAGTCAATTTGACTGACCGCGTGACCTTTTTGTACTCATATAGTCTTTATAGATTTGATCTACTAACTTTTAATATAGTATGTATATCTTCACAGAATTTGTCAGTCTTTCAGTAAGCATTTCAAGTCTTTCATGTACAAAAAACATATTATTTCGTAAAGTATTTTAAATAAACTTAAAAAAGATTTGTCCATGAATATATTGAGTATTTGTTTTGAATAGTCTGTGTGCAAAGCAATTTTCATGTAAAGATTAAAAATACTTGAATTATGTTAAAAATCTTAGATTTGATTTGTGTAATCTTTGAAACCTCCTACATACATTTCAAATGTTTGTTTTCAGTAAAACTTTATATATTCTGTTATTTTCTCTACCCTAACTCTATAACAATGTTAGTCAATTTGACTGACCTTGTAACCACCAAACAAAAAAAAAAATCCAAATAAATCTAAATTACCCTTTTTTTACTAGAATGACTTCAAATTGTAACATGAAACTACATTTGTTTATTCTAAGTAGCTTTAAACCCGTAACAGTATTCATCTATTTATACTTAAATGATATTGTTTTATTGCTTTTTGAACCATGTCTAACTACTATTCACACCATTATAAGTTGTAACTCACTTGAGGAATGTGGAGGCCATATTACACTATTGAATTATGTTACCCGCAACCTATGCATGTGCGTGCCTCATGTAACATTTTTATTATATTATTATTTATTTTACCTAATCTAACCTTAACTGACCTAAAGAGTTCCCTATTTTTACATTTTGGTTACTTTTATAATAATAAATAAAAAAATAAACAAGAAATAAAGGACTTACCCAAATCTTCTTTTTTCTTGCTGTCGTTTGTCGATGACATTTAACCCTACTTTTTTTTATACTAATGGTAGTAATTCACTAAATAATTTTTATTTAATCAAATAATGCACCAAAGAACATAGACTAATAATATGCAAAAAGTAGATAATAATTTTTCTGGCTTTCTAACTATGGACAAGAGCCATTACAAATTCATCCAAGCTAGTTGTTATCTTCCACGTGGGAACAAAGCTCGTACTAACAGTGAAATTGACATTTCTCCATTCAGAAAACACTTTGATACAATACGTCATTTGATAGATGAAAACCTTGGCTTTCTGTTGGTTATAGATACTGTAGAATTAAATGCAAGAGAATAATATTAATAAATCCTGTAAGAGGATGTGACAGGTGGGTGTGGCAGGAGGGGTCTAATTTTCTATTTGATGGTTCTGTAACCAAACATAACTGAAGGCTATAAAAATTATGGTTTGTCTGAGCAATGACAATTTTATAGTGATTAATTTATATTGAATTTCATATTTATTGTAGGAATGATGGATAAAATAGAGAAGATGCCTAGAGAAAATGTGTCACACTAGGGGTAATTTAGGATTTTTTTTTAATATTGCCTTATAAAATTAATAAAACTTATATACTATTAAAATATGGATTATTAGCTAAGAGTTTATGCTATACTAATTGTTATAACATAAACAAAAAGTAGATAAATCAAATTTTGAATGTAAGTCACTAGAACCTTGAGTCACGTGCAGTAAAGGATGCCTGTGGCAATAGGGTTAATGCTGATATTTGCATACATACAATTTATATATTTAATCCTATATAAGAACATATTACTAAACAAGAAATTATACAAGTTTTAATCTTTTTAGTCATTAAAAAAATTACAAGTTTTGAAATAAGTCTTTAATCTGTAATCAAACAACAGTTATTTTCAAATTGGTGCAAAGTTGTCATCCTTGGGTAGATGCGACTGCTTATACCATTATTGGCAACTTTATTCGTGATAGCACTTTGGTTGTTTCTTACCTAAGTATGTTATAGTTAGAGAGACAGTTAAATTATATTTAGGTTTGACTTTTATATTTTAGTTAATTATTTGTGTTTTAAAATTCATATCTGAAACGTTTAATAATTTTTATAACATAACCAAAGCTTCCCCTCATCCTGCAAGGCTTCATTACCAAGCATCTATAAAACGATTTTGCCCGAGGCTAAGGCATCTGTGCCGTTTATATGGTTCTATCGTCCATGGGTACCCATTCATGCGTGTCTACATAAATAATCAAAGGTAAAGAATAGAAAAGGAAAATAAAACATAAAAAACAAATTATAAGTGAAAAGGTAAAGAAATGAATTTACGCATATGACCCAAAGAAGTTATTTTAAGATTATTAAAAGAGGAGTTTAAAGGTATGTATTACCTTAAAAACTTTTGACACTCATTTAGGAGGTTCTAGAGATTACGCAAGTGAAATGTGAAAACTGTAAAATAATAAATAGTATTTTTATATACTCAATGAAAACCACCTTGCAAGTGTACTATTCAGAGTGAGTGGTAATAACTAAATTAAATAATGAATTTTTTTGAAATAGTAAAAACAAATAATAATAATAATATTTTCCTCAAAGTTCTTGTCAAGTTTTAAATAATTTTATAAACTCGTTTTATTTTTGGAACAAAATATAACTAGAACTATGTAATGCGCTACACATGGTCGTTATAAGAGACATACTGCTAAACATAACTGTGGTAAATCAATTATTATTTCCTGATAGCTCTTTGAAAGTGATAAAATTTGCCCAGTGGGCTAGACTACCATTTTCATGCATACTATTAACCCTATCGAGGCAGGTCACGGGTGAAAGGCCATGTCATCTCGTTTGTTGACTCGCATTCAAAATTTGATTGAACTACTATTTCATGATCTTGTGTCAATAAGTTTGGTATTAAACTGTAATTATAATTCAAATTTTAGGACTATACATTACTCAATTTCTTAAATTATAAGTAAATATTTAAAAAGTTGAATGCAGCACTGGTTTCAATTAGATGTTTGTGAGGTCAAAA